GCTAAATGGTTCACGTGCCTGAAAGGTGGTTGGATGGTGATCAAACAAGTGGATGTAGCCTTGAGGATTTCAAAAGACATTTTGGTCATTTTTCAATAGCATCACGGGGGCATTTTAGTCATTTTCTAATGACCATTTGGTTTGTTAACAACATCACGGGGGTTTTTAGTCATTTTTAATGACCATTTGGTTTGTTTATGTTACCTATTTATTATTATGTATGCATTTTTTTTTATTTTATGATTAATTTAGATTAATGTTTTGAATTTATTTAGTTAATGTTAATTTTATAATTTATTTCAATAATTAGGTTAGGTAATTAATAAGTCGAGTAATTATCGAGTCTCCTAATTTTTAAGACTTATGATGATGCCCTACTAATAAAAAAAATAATCATAATGAACAAGAAAGAGAAGAAAGAATGCTAGGGAAAAAAATCACTACAAAACAAATGTCAAGAAAAAAATAAAAAGTCTCTTATCCGATAGGGACTATTATTAGATATATAAAAAAAATCATTTTAGTAATTAGGGCGTTCTCTAACATATTAGTTATGTCAAAACTTAAAGTGGATCCGATATTTGAACCGACGTGTCTCTCGACGAAGGGATCCGATGATTGCTTGAATACAAAAAAAAAAAAAAAAAAAAATGGGCATCTATCCCAAGCAAAGTCACCATTCTATCACTATCCAACTTCGATAGGACTCCTAAAAATTAAGATTTATCTATTTTTTAAAGTTATTTGTGATTTATTCTAGGGATGTGAGTTATTTCGGAGTCATCACCTAATATTGAAAGAACTAGGAATCTAAAATGGGCATTGTTATAGAGATTTTAGGGCTAAAGAGTTGGCTATGCTCTTAAAAAGATATCGATCATCCAAAATCGTCATTTTTGTAAGAAAGGTATCATATCTAGTTTAGTAATAAAATTTATCTCCTAAAACAATTCTATTTTTTTCCAAAATTAATCGAAGTCGAAAATTCCAAGTTTTTATTTTTGTTATGTCAAAATAAGTTTTTTATTTTTTTATTGCATCGTATTGAACCAATTATTAGATCCCTTTGTTAAGAGACACATCATTTCAAACATCGGATCCACTTTAAGTCTCAAAATAAATGATATGTCGAAAAATTTCGTAATTACTAAAGTGATTTTTGCCTAGTCTGCAGTCCTTCCTAGACAGTGGACTTTGTTAAATTATATATTTTGTAGTACTTTTTTTTTTTTTTCCTTTCTTCTTTTCTTTTTTCTCTTTTTCCGAGAATTTTCTTCTTTTTCTTTCTTTTTTTCTTTTCCTAACATGTTTTTTACTAGATAGGGAAGGGTGTTATCGGCAGGTGGGAAATTAATACTAATTCAGAGTGTTTTATCCTCCATCCCTATTTATACCATGGGCATGCTTCCAATACCCAAAACCACTATCTCTAGGCTTGAAAGCTACATATCTAATTTCTTATGAAATAGTGCAGAAGAAAGCAGACATCATTAATTGGAGTAAGATGACTCTCTCCATGCAAAAAGGTGGTTTAGGTACCAAGAACCTAGCAGAAGTGATGAAAGCAATGAAAGGAAAACTTGCATGGGCATACCTATCTAGTACATCGTTATAGAGCTGTTTCATATGGGACAAATATGGGAAGCCTACTGAAGTCTCTTCATTGGATAGTAACAAAGGTTCCTTGGTTTGGAGATCTCTCTTGCACACGTAAGATTGCTACTGGATAGCTCAATCTGGATAGCAGGGGTTGGAAGCCTTCGGTTATGGAAGGATAAATGGACACTGAAGAACCTATCCACTCCTACAACTAATGATGAGATCATGCTAGCTGAAGCAAAAAATGATCCAGTGATACATACCTCACTTTCCCTTCTGGTCAAATAATTGGACTTCCTTCATTTGGACAGCAGCGTGGCAGATGACTTATGCTACATGAAAGTTAAATCAGGCCGATTCAACTCAAAGGCATATCACGAGTCTAATAGATTGTTTGGCTTAAAATTTGAGTGGTAGAGGAGTCTATGGAATAAATGGATTCCTAAGAAGGTTGGAATCATGGTCTGAAAGTTCTTGCATAATGCTCTGACTGTTGATACAAATGTTAAAACGTGTGGAATTCCCTTATCTCAAAATATAGGTGTTGCAGTAGTACCTAATAAGAATCTAGAGATCACTTGTTCATTCACAATGAAGTTATTGGTCATTCATGGGGCTTCTTTGGTAGCATTTTAGATGTAAATATAGGAGCTATATCGGTGAGGCAGCAGGTTGGACAAAAGCAAGCCTACCTCCTAGAAAGCATTTTCACACATGGTGGTTTTCAACCTTGTCATATGGGAATTGTGGTTAGCATGGAATAAGTCATTTTTTGATGATAAGTTAATGAATGCTATATGTATTAAACACAAGGTGATCCATTGGTTAATTGATCTTAATAGGCTATTCAACTCGCGATGCTCACCTTCATTCCATTACAACATCTGCCAAAAGCTTTAGGAATTCAGATTCACACTTCCACCACAATTAAGAGAAGATGGATAAGATGGATTGCCCCCCTCCAGGCATTTTGAAACTCAATGTGGATGGTGCTTCAAGGGGAACCATGTGCAGCAGGGGGGCATTCTTCGTAAATGAGCACGGGAAGATGCTGTTGGCCTTCTCTAGTTTCTTTAGGGCTGGAACTAATAATAAGGGTGAAATTTTGGCTATATGGGAGGGTCTCAGGATATGCAAACTTTACAATCTCCATCCTACAATTATAGACACTGACTCTTCTCTTGCTCTGGATGGTCTGGTTCGATCATAAAATTTCCCTTGGCATCTAACTTATATTCTATAGGATTGTTGGGTAGATAAGATTCCAGGTACAACCTTTTAACATGTTCATCGAGAAGGGAATAATGTTACTGATAGACTCGCAGCAGGGGCCTTCCAACATACCTCCCAACAAAATGCATTCATAATGTCTGAGCTCAGAGTTAGTTGTATTCAACCTTTACGAGATTATGCTCAAGGTGTTTTCTTCTTTCAGCTAAATGGTGGAACAGGGTGAAGATAGTTTTTTGGTAGGAGACTTTGCAGGAGGCAATGCATCTTTGCATCAGATTTGCTTAATACAGGTAAATGGTAACTGCCTACTTTCAAATTGGTTTTGAGATTTTCCCATTATGAGAATGCTATCAATTATGGGATTGTAGTTTGATCTCTACATGTGCCATAAACGTAACAACTATTGAGCAAGTAGTAAGCTTATTTTTCCTCTTATTTAGAAGTATGGAAGTAACCCCCGTGTTATGTCTCTATAGCTTTCAGAAATAGTTTTCGATATTCTTTCAAGGGTATGGGCTTCCTTACCCTCCTGCTATGTTGGGCTTACCCTCCTAGTATGTTGGGTTAGGTTGAATTGTCCCCGCTTGTACTATTTAAATTTTAATCAATATACTATTAATGTACTGCCCTTGTTTCTAAAAGAAAAAAAAAGCATTTTTTTGTAACATCTTCTTTTTATTTTCATAGCATTCCTTTTTTTTTTTTTGTTCATTATTATTATTATTATTATTATTATTTTATCAATGAGGAATCACCATAAGTCCTTAAAAATTAGAAGACTCAATAATTCGTTCACCTATTTATTACCTAACCTAATTATTGAAATAAATTATAAAATTAACATTAACTAAATAAATTCTAAATTAAGCATAAAAAACTTGCATACATAAAAATAAACAAGTAACATAAACAAACCAAATGGTCATTAAATAATAACCAAAATGCCTATGCAATGTTGTTGGAAAAGGACCAAAATGCCCCTCGAAACATGAAAAAGCTACTACCATTTGTCTAGTCACCATCCAACCACCCTTTAAAAGTGGGAACCACCCCACACAGTGGAGGAGATCATTGAAAAGCCAACGACGGTGGTGGAAGTTGCAAACGATGTTGGTGGAAGAAAGAGGCTTTGAAGTTTCTACTTGGATCTCCTCCTCTTTCGATGATGATTTTGGAAATGTTAGTGCATTTTGAGGACATCAATTGACTCATGAAGCTAAGAAGATTGTTTCGTGGTGGTAAAGGGGTGCAATTTGGTCAAAGTTGGCCGATTTGGTTAGGTTTGTATTAGCAAGTAAATGGGTCGATCGTTAGTCTCTTCTTCAATTTGATAATTTCTTGATGATATTTTACCTGGATTTTTAAGGAGAACAACTTCTAGGAGGTTGAGGAGTGTTTTTCTAGTCTGTGGAGGTTATTCATTTGGCCGAAAAATGATGATAATATTAGGTACAAAACCAATTTGGGTCGTCGACCTTCTCTTCTCGATTTCTTCCACCTCTAGCATCTTCTTCCTTTCTAACTAATTAGGAATGATAGATATAGCAATGAGACATCTATTTGTGGTGGCGTATTTAAGTAATTTTGTTCAAAGATGGCTGATTTAAGGAAGAGCTAACGGGTCCGCAGGTTGACCCATTAGCTATTCGGGTTGATGACCACTTTTAAGGGTTGTTTGGTAGATTTTCTTTTCTTTTTTTCATATGAAGATTTTTTTTTTTTTAAGGTTTTTATGTGTTTTTGTGAGTCGAGGGTGGCTAGATGTGTGATGGGTATTGTGGTGGTTGGTCAAGTGGAAGGAAAGCTTGGTAATGGATAGAGAGATGAGTGAGAGGTTAGGTTTTTTTTTTTTTTTTTGGGTATGTGGGATGATTGTGGCTAGAGTTTTTTTATGGGTAAGAGGAATGATTGTGGCTACCCTAGAAATGAAGAGAAAGAGTTGTTGATATAGCAGGATTTTAGGGTTAAGGGATAAGTCATCTCCTCAATCATTTTCTTTTTTCTTCTTTTATTTTTAGTTAAAAATGGAAAATAATTCTAAGAAATAAAAAGTCCCAAAAAAATTGCAAGAAATACCTAAAAACTATGCAATATTCTAATTTTTCTGAATTTTTGAATTTCTTCTTTTTGAATTAATTTATTTTTAAAAAATTTATATGAAAGTAAACATGGGTCAAATGGGGTTATTACAAATCTCAAAACGCTTCACTTCGATGAGTTTATTGGTTTGCTTGTCGCTTATGAAGGAAAAATTTGAGGACTTTGAAATAATGGAATTTGTGCCATTGAAAAGAAGCATGGCCTTAAAGTTGATTGTAACTCGTGAGAAGGCTGACGAAAGTAGTAATAATGATGATGATGACATAACCTTGATCACTATAGAGGTTCATCAAACTTTTTGTCATAATCCATTTTTGACCCTCAATAATTTTTAATTTTATACAAAAATAGAAAAAATAAAAAATTACATGTTGTATAATTTCTTTATTTTCCATGATTTTTAGGTTTTTTTTATAAATTTTTAGTATTTTTATTTCATAGGATTATTCTCTAATTTTAATTAAATAAAAAAAAGAAAAAGAAGGAAAAAAGAAGGAAAAAAAAAAGAAGAAGCAAAATTAATCAATTGTGGGTGTAATTGAAAAAATATGAGTCAAATTAATCAATTTAGTGTGCAATTGAATATCCTAAAATAAAAAAGGCTAGAAATTGAAAGAAAACAAAATAATAGAAACATAAAAAAAAAAAACCATGTGATTTTAGCAAAAACCACAACACTCATATAAATACCCCTTCTTTTCTCCACTCTTAGACTCGCGTGCGTGCGTGCGTGTGTGCGTGTGTGTGTGTGTGTGTGTGTCTTCCGATTTAGCAACTTTTTTCTTATTAAGGGCTAGAAATTCAGCCTCTTGGCCACCGACAGCCCAACCACCACCATTTTCGGCCAACCATTGTGGAATTCAGAGCCAACCAAAAATCAAAAAATTACCAAAAAAAAATTCCAATAATATTTTATCACTTCGGATCACTTTTGTTAACTTTGAAATCATTCAAAACTGATGAAAAACACTCAAAACTTGCTAAAAAAAATTTAGCTGAAATGTTTTTGTTGTCTATCTACCTCTACATATGGAGGTGGATGACATTACCCTCGGGGATGGATAGATGAGGTCAAGATCTACAAGGAGGGCTACTTCACTTATAGAATATGGTCAGAATAGAGACCATTGGCACCAACAGTGGCGGTAGGCAAGGAGAGAGAAAAAAACTTATCACCAAAAGTTCTTTGCCATCGATGTCCCTCCATAGGAGGAGGTGGATGACACCATCCACATGAATGGATACAAGAAGTTGTTATCTATAAAGTAAGCTTTTCTACAAGTAAAATCATGGCTAGAATAGTGAACGATGACTATTTTTACAGCAATGTGCAGGTGGTTATACACAAATGGTGGTTTTGTAATTTTATTATCATGCATAACAGCCACATTTCGGAGGCAAAAATGTAATTTCAGTTGTTTAGGGGCATTTAGGTAATCTCAAGAATTTGTCTAGTAGCTTTTTTGGTAATTCTTTTGTGTAGAGGCATTTTTGTCCTTTCCAGTAACATTTCAAGAGTATTTTAATCACTTTTTAGTGATCATTTGATTTTTATTCTTATTTTTTAATTATTTAATTATTATGTTGTAATAATATTTAATTTTAGGTGTGTTAAAGTGTAAAACTATTTAGGTTATAAATTTTATTTTAATGTGTAGCCTTTCATTTGGTCGTGATGTTAGACTAATTAATGAGTCTCTTATTTATTAGAGATGGAGATGGTCTCGATATACTTTATCCAGTATTAAAAATAATAATAAAAAAAAGTAAGGGCACTTTTACTTATTAGATACGATAAGAAAATTTAAGTCGACCCAACGAATCTTCTATTTGAATAAAAATTGATGTTGGTCTCGACCCACAACAAAAATAAAAAATAAAAAAAGAAATAAAAGAAAGAGAGTTAGCTAGGATAAATGAAAAATTAGTTTAAACACATTTAGTTAATTAAGTTGTTCTTTGACATTTTAGTCATGTTAAAATATAATTAAATCTAATGCTAAATTGACACGACTTCTAATCTTGGATGTCAACTTAATATGATGCCACAAATAAAAAAATTAAAAATTAATTTGACTTAGGTGATAATTAAGCTTGGAAATAGACTTAGGAAATAATTCAACAAAATAATTCTTAAGATATATTTTTTGGATTAAACCAAATATGGTATCTTTCTCGAAAAGAATGCTTTTAGGTCATTGTTATCATTCTAAAGACATAATCAATTCTTTATTCTAGAATCTTTTAATCCATTTAGGTTTCTAGTTACTTTTAATATTAGGTGGTGACTCCAAAACTTTTTTTTTCCTTTATAAATTTTTTGGAAGTCCCCTAAATGTTGAATAGTGAAATTTAAAAGAAAAAAAAAGAAAAAAAGAAATAGTATGAAAATCGAAAGGGATTCAAAAGAGAAAAAAGTCAAAGGGTGACTCAAGTAAAAGAGAAGCCATTATTTTCCGTAAGTGCAAAAAGTTGGGTCATGTGAAGTATGATTGCCCTCTTACTAAAATAAATTAGAAGTATGACATGAAGAAATCCTAGAAGAAAGCCATAAAAGCCACCACTAGGGATGACAAAGATGATAGCTCAACTACCTCTAGTGATAATGATTTGAAACTAGAGGAATCGGTTAACCTATGCTTGATGGAAAGCTTCGAAGAGAATGATGCTACTAATGACGAATTAATTTGCTTCATGTCCGTTAGCAGAACCGATGACAATGAGGTAATTGATCTTTATGACGAAATCTCTTTCGATGCGTTGTAAACTATATTTGAATAACTACATCATGATTTCAAAAACATGTGCAAGAATAATATTATTGCTCTTAAAAAGAACCTTGAGTTGATTTCAAAAGATTTTTTTGTATCTTAGAAAAAGAAAATAATGTATTGTTGAAAATAAAAATAGATTTTAAGAGGCAAACTGATTTGCTAAGTAGCTCATCTATCTCATTCGTTCTTTATCAAAAAAATAGTTAAAGAAATTATTGCACGAAAGCTCAAGTTGAGGACATGAATTTTTTTAATCAAATTCTTTCAAGAAAGAGATAATATAGATCGTCTATTAGAAAGTCAATGATGCATGTTTGATCAAACCAGATTGGATTAAAATCCAAAAAAAAAAAAAAAAGGTTTTACGAAAACTCATTGTGATAAAAATCGGTATCTTGCATACAAATGCTCAAATAAAAATATTTTTGGGTAATATAAAGATGATCTAAGAGGTTAAAGGCACATTTACTAACCCTAATGGATACATGAGGTTATGAGTACCGAAACCAATCAATTATTTTTATTTAATTTTTTTTTTTTATAGGGAAAGAAGGATAGATGTCATTTGGATAGTAGTTCCTATAGATATATGACAAGCGATTAGGGGTGAGCACAATTTGGTAAAAACCGAAAAACTGAACCGTACTCGAATCGAACTAACAAATTTGGTTTGATTTTTTTTTTAAAAAAAAACGAACCGAAATACCGAAATTATTTCGGTTTGGTTTGGTTAATTTTTAAAAAAATTTGGTTTTCGTCGGAAACCAAATTTTAACACACAAAACCGAAAACCCTAATAATCTTGTTAGTATTGTTTTAGTTTTTCACTTCTTCTCATTTGCTTTCTCATTTTCTCGCCGCCACCTACCGCCACTACCACTCGCTCACCCAAATCCAAAATCTCACCCCAAAAACTCCCGTAAGTCGTAACTTGTTCTCCACTTTTGCTCGGTGCTCATCGGTGACCGATCAATAGTCACCAATCACCATCCAATCCAAAAACTCATTGCTTGTCTTGCACTCGGCGATCGGCATTCCCCTTTCCTATGGTAAGTTTTCAATTTTCATAATCAAAATTCAAATGTGGGTGTATTTATAGATGTAATTTTTCCACTTCCTTGCATTGTTCTCTACTTGCACCTATTCTTAGCTTGTTGATATACTTAGCTTGTCGACGCTTGCTATCACATCCGCAAGCAAATCTTTGCAAATTCATAGAAAATTTAAAGAAAATGCGAGTTTGAGTTGTCGAAATAAAGTTTAAATAAAAAGGGTTACAAGTAGTATTTCTTAGGTTTTTTTTCCCCCATTAAAACTCAAAACTCCGAAGACTAAATTTCTTAACAGGAGCATTTGTCTTGAATGTAAATAAAATTGTTCAAATAAAAAAGAAAATGGTTCCGACTGGTGGGAAAGCAAAAACATATTTGTATATGGGTTTCTAGTTTAGTAACATACAAAATTAAAAAGATAATTGAAAGGGGAGAGAATGAGGATGAAGATCTTCGGTCTTGGGACATGGTGATGAGTTTCATCATGGTAGGGAGGGATTCATTTTATTCTCGAGACATGGCGATAAGTTCTATGGGGACGAGGAGAGAGAGTTTTAACTCGTAAGTCCGTAATAATGTTTTTTCTAGTTGCTTTCGTGTCATTCAAATGTCGAATAAGAATGTTAGGTTATGGATTATTTAAAGAGTTGTATTTGTTACAAATGCACCCTCTCTCGTAGAATTTGAATGGAAAGACAAATCTTCATCTTGCGGAACTATGAAATTTCGTATAGAAAATTGGATGTTTGCAAAATCCTAGTATGTAGTTGTTAGAGAATCTTTGATTGATTTTTCAAGATAGAGCAAGGAAGTCCACGTTGGAGTTTTTGATACTTAGAGTGTTTAGGATAGTTTGGAATTGTTTTACCAATTAATAAAGCATCAACCTCTCTTTGATAGTAATATGGTTAATGTTGGGTTCACATTCACTACCACTAGAAGCCTACCCTCCATTAAAGGCATTTACTTCTTCGATTGGTTTCATTGACACATAATGTAGAATTCCAAGCATGCATAAGCTCGTGAAAAAGGGAAGGCATCGGTCATTATTGTTTCTAGATAACTAAAAATATCATGTAAACAAGTTAATTCATGTATGCCACTAATTCATGGATGCCATAATTCCTTGGAATGTCGATAATTCATCCGTGTTGCTGAAATTAACAAGACAAAAAATACAAACCGATAGAACTTTTGTTTGCTTGATTAGGTAGTGTAAACATGGACACTTTTGCTTTTCTTAACAAAACAGTTTGCTTAACACTATTTATATTTGATTTAATGCATTAAGAGAAACACTTTACTTGCTAAAATTTAATGCTAATGCTAATGCGATAGTTTTTTTTCCTTTCTAAAGATGTCATAACCCAAAGAAATTATGAGTTCAACCAATGAACCATCAACTCCAAGTGAAGCTCAAACAAACACACAACATGAGAGGAGAATAAAGAGGAAAGCAATAAAGCCAAGATCAATTATGTGGGACCATTTCACCAAGTTTGAAGATGAAAACAACGAAATCAAAGCAAGATGCAATTATTGTGATAAGGTACTTACCGCTCATCCTATAAAAAATGGCACTACCGCACTTAAGTCTCATATGATCGTATGTAAAAAACACCCCTATAGTATTGAGACTTCACAAACTCAATTAAACCTTCACTCAAGTGCTTAAGGAGAAAGCACTCTTAGCACATGGAAATTTGATCAAAATGCTATTAGAAATGCTTTAGCGTTCATGATCATTATAGATGAACTTCCATTTAAATTTGTGGAGGGTATGGGATTTCAAAAGTTTATGTCCATTGCATTGCCAAGATTCAAAATTCCATCACGGTTTACGATTTCAAGAGATTGCTATCAATTGTTTTTAAATGAGAGATTAGTATTGAAGCAATTCTTGAAAACGAATGCTCAAAGAGTTTGTCTCACTACGAACATGTGGTCATCTATTCAAAGAATCAATTATATGTTTTTAACGGCCCATTTCATTGATAATGATCGAAATTTACATAAAAAGATCTTGAATTTTTATCCGGTTGATAATCATAGGGGTGTGGATTTAGGCAATTCCATTGAGAAGTGCTTAATTGATTGGGAGATTGAAAAGGTTTTTACTATTATAGTTGACAATACATGTTCTAATGATATGGCAATTAGACACTTAAAAGATGTCATTAAGAATTAGGATCATAGTATCTTAGATGGGGAATTTCTTCATATGAGGTGTGTAGCACATATTTTGAATCTTGTTGTTATTGATGGGTTAAAGCATGTTAATCCTTCGATCCTTCGTGTTCGAGCAGCCATGAGGTATGTGAGACAATCTCCGGGTAGGTTAAAACAATTTAAGAAATGCATTGAGATAGAAAAGATTGATTCTAAGAATTTGTTACATCTAGATGTTGCAACTAGGTGGAATTCAATGTATTTGATGTTAAATGCGGCCCAAAAATTTGAGAGAGCTTTTAAGAGATTAGAGCAAGTTAATCCATTATATAGATGTGAGCTTGATGTGAATCATAATGAAGATGTATTTGGAGCGCCTAATGCCAATGATGGGATAGTTTGTAGGAAGATGGTGGACATGTTAAAACCATTTTATAATCTTACTTTGCTTGTTTCGGGTTCTTTGTATGTCACTTCTAATGCTTTCTTTGAAGAGATTTGTGGGGTTGAATATGTTTTGAGACAATGGCAACAAATTTCTAAGGTTGATGATTGTTTAATGGGTACAAAAATGAAAGAAAAATTTGATAAGTATTGGGGAGATGTTAAGAAAATGAACAAGTTGATCTATATTGTAACAATTCTTGATCTTAGGCATAAATTTTGATTTGTTCAATTTTCTTTCAATGAATTGAATGGTGAAATGATGACAAATCTTGTGAGAGAATCTATATATGCCATGTATTATTCATATTGTAGGTAGGGAAGATCAAATATTGACCAAGGTGGTGGGAGAATGGAAGATGCAAATGAAGAAGTGGTTGAGCAAGGGCCAATATGTGTGGTTTGTGAGATGAAATTAAAATATAAAAAATTCAAGATTGATGTTGAAGGTGGAGAAAATAAATCAGAGTTAGATAGGTATCTTGATGAAGTTGTCGAGAAAGAGGATAAAGATTTTGATATTTTGATGTGGTGGAAAAATAATTATGCTTGATTTTCCATTCTTTCTCAAATAGCTTGTGATGTCTTGGCAGTTCCTATTTCAACTCGTTGCTTCAAAATCTTCATTTAGTACTAGAGGAAGATTTCTCGACTCGTTTAGGAGTTCTTTAACTCCTAACATTAACCAATCTCTTATATGTGCTCAAGATTGGCTTCAAAATTTATTAACACTAGTTAATATTGAAGAAGATTTGCAAGATCTTGACAAAATTGAAGCGGGTAATTTTGTTAACTCTTTATCTTTTATTTGTCATTTTTTTTATTTAAGATGTTTAATGTTTAATAATGTTGAAGTATTTTTTATTTTTATTTTTTTTAGATATAGCAACACTTGTTTTGGTATCAACTATGATAGATATATGATGGATTAATGGTGTTTTGATTGTTTGGATGACATGGGTAAGTTTTTAATTTTTATTTGCATGATATATTAATTTTTTCAACTTGAATATTTTGATAGATTATTTAAGTTAATGAGGTGTTTTTTTTTTCTTAGGAAATGCCAAGATTTGGAAGTTGGATTTTGGAAGTTAATGTTTGTATTTGTATTATGGTTTAAGGATGTTTAATGGATTGTATTTAAATTTTTAATTATGGATGATTTTATATGGATTGTGTGGATTGCACTTTAATTATGGATGTTGGTTTATGGATTGTATTTTAATTATGGATGATGTTTGGATGTTGGTTTATGTATTGTATTTTAATAGTAGATGATGTTTTGTTTTGGTTATTTGATATTACATTTTAAATTCAAGTCCATAATTAAATTGATATTTGGATGTTTGGATGATGTTTTATTTTGGTTATTTGATTTGGTTTATGTATTGTATTTTAATAATGTTTAGATGATTAGATGTGTTTGGATGATGTTTTGTTTTAGTTATTTGATTTAATAATGTATTTTAATAATGTTTGGATGATTGGATGTTTTCGTTATTTGGTTATTTGATATTACATTTTTATTTGTTTTGGATGTTTATTTTTTAATGTTTTGTTGCATTTTAAATTGCTAGAAACGGCCATTGCTCTCTAGTTCCAATGTTCCATGTATATAAGGCTTCCGGAATGGTAAGTTAAAAAAAAAATCGGGTTTTAACCAAAAAACCGAAAATCGAATAAAAATTTTGGTTTTTAAACTGAAAAATCGAATCTTAATTCAGTTCGGTTTCAATTTCTATTTTTTCAGATTCGGTTAACCGAAAATCGAAAAACAAATCATCGAAACCGAACCAAAAACCGAATGCTCACACCTACAGAGCGATGCATCCAAATTAATTTTTTTTTTAAAGAAATAAAATGTCCGACATGTGACATTCAGTGACGATGCCAAAAGAAATGTAAATGGTATCGATAATATTGGTAATTCTTCAACTATCGATCTTGTTTTATCAGTTGATAGTTTAGAATATAATTCCCTTAGTATTAGTCAATTGTTAATTTTTTAATTAATGTATTGTTTGGTTATTCGCATATTAGATAATATATAAGATCATCTTCATTGGTAAGAACCTAAGGAATACATATGTCGTTGATATTAGTAAACCTTCTAATTATGATGTTAAGTATTTCAATGCTCTATTAGACTCCATGCATTTGGCATAGACGACTTGGACATGCAAACATGGAGCTTATTTCGAAAATTTTCGAGAAGGATTGGTGAAAGGCCTACCATAAATCAAATTAAAAAATAAGGTTATTTGTGATGCTTGCTAATTGGGTAAACAAGTCGAAAGCTCATTCAAGGCCAAGAACATGGTGCCTACGATACGTGCGCTACAGTTACTTCATTTGGGTCTTTTCGGACCAATGAGAGAGTATCAAGTCTTGGTGATAAAAAGTATGCTTTGTTATTGTTGATGATTACATCAGATTCACATGGGTTCTTTTTCTTGCAACAAGAATGAGGCATTACAAACTTTTACAAAATTTTGTAAAAAAATTCAAAATGCAAAGGGTTTTATGATTTATAATTCAAAGTGACCATGGTGGTGAATTCGATCGGTAGCATTGTTTTTTAAAAACTGTTGCATGGAAAATTGTTTTACTCATGAGTTTTTAATCCAAAAACTCCACAACAAAATTTAGGGTAGAGAGAAAAAAAATAGGTCACTTAGAAAAATGATTCAAGAATAGTTAGGTATCTATGGACAAAATTGTTACTCAAGTCTTTTTAGGGACTAGTTGAGCACTTTAAAATGTCTTTTATATGTAAAGTGATGTTTCAAAAAGTTAGCCTAAAAATTATTTTTAAACCCCTATTTTTGCATCTAAGGTCGTAGAGACCATTTGATATACCAGATGGTCGATATATATCAGCTCAAAAAATTCCAATTTAAGCATTCAAACCATAGTCATAGACAACCTGGTATAGTAGATGTCTCAAACCGG